ACAAAATCTTGTTTTTAAAATAATGTAGAGGATGGATGTTATGAAAACAAAAGGCAGCACCTTGGTGTGGAGGCCCAGTGCTTGGCAGGTCTTTCAGTAGAGCACAATGCAATATGATTTCTTTTTTTTTTTTCACAGCTTACGGAGGGCAGTGAAGAGTGGATCAAGGTTCCCCAGGAAGACCTGCAGAGCTATCACCAGGAGGAGCAGAACGGCTCTTTCGAGGCCCCCAGTGAAAGGCTGTATTCCCTGAAGATCCGAAACACTACCAGCTGCAGCTCGGGGACATACAGATGTACTCTGGTGGGGCCGGAAGGGCAGAGAAACCAGAGTGGCACAGTGATCTTGAAAGTGACAGGTAAGGTGATGTGCTGCACTCGTTTTCTTGCCAAAAAGCGTGTGCACTTTCTGTAGGTCCTAAAATCGACCCTCTCTGTCAGAGCCTTAACTCATAAGCTTTGGATCACATCTGTGGCTAAAAGCTAAAGTCTGCTGCAAGAATGTCATAATTTATTCTTTTATAAGGACGGGTCTTCCCCAGCCTGACTGGGATGGATGCCAAATGTAGCCAAACAATAATCTAGCTGTTGTTTATCATGTCAGAGTCCTTTGGAACAAGTGGGAAGCATCCAAAGCTAATTTTTGGGAGATGGAGAATTGCGTAGTCTCCATACACCAGACAATCCTATTATTCTGCTCATCTGGGGCCTTCCAACCTGGCCTAAGGGAGTTGCTTCATATTTCTACCCTTTTAACATGAGAATAGCACTTCCTTCCCACTTGATGGGGAATGCATTTCCCAATGCCTCAACTCGGGCCAAAGCAAAAGAGTACAGCAAGAAAGTAATGTTCCAGTGACAGAATACACATTATCGCCCTATGCAGTAACACCAAGACTTGAGTGTCAAGACAAGGATAATCTCCTTGGATTTTTTTTTTCATAACTTCTTTATGTAGCTTAAAATATGCCTTGCATTTGACTTTTGCCCAATTCTTGTTTGTGGCTGAGGCTTGACATGACAAACATGTTGTCATAGAGTCCCTGAATTTGTTCAATAGCTGCCTTTTCCTATCGGGTATCTGAAGTGATCTGACTCAAGATAATATTCTTATATTCACAAGAACACAATCACTATTTAGGCGTTAGTGGATCTAGTTCACTGTTACACACACATACACACATAAACACACACACACACCCCTTATACCCTTCTCTGTCTGTAGCCCTTTACCCTGCTTTGGTTGTCTTCATAGAACTTACTACACCTGATGTGCTCATACTCTCTGCTTTGTTCTTTGCTGTGTCCTGGCACACAGTAGGCCCTCAATGAATATTATTCACATGGATGAGAAATGAGAGCAACCTGGCAGGAGAGAGTGGAGAGGAAATGAGAAAGAAAGCTGATGTTCTTTCCTTTCCTCATCAAAGGCCTACACCTTGCCCAGGAGTCAGACTCTAGAGTCACTTAGATCTGGTTCAAATATTAGCTATGCTGTCTGTTAGTTAGTGTGTGACCTTGGGCAAACCTCTGACTCTAAGCCTCAGTTCTCTTATCTCTAAAATGGGGATGGTAATTTCAACAACATAGGCTTGCTGTGAGGGTTAAAGGAGATAGTGCTCTAAAATGCCTAGTACAGTGCCTGAAGCAGACTGAGTGCTCAATAAACATTCTGAACCATTAGGAGAATGGCTTTCAAACTTTTTTCCTTGAGTCACAGATCCTTGTGAGAATCCATCCTTAGACTATTGCATGAACTTCTGAGTCCAATGTCAGGGGCTGAAAGCTCTCTTGAGGCCCACCTGAGGCCCGTCTCAGGAGCCCCCAGTCATCTGCACTCCTGCTCCTGCCTGGCCCGCAAGCAGACTTGGTTAGCATGCTTGCTTCCCCAAACAGCACATTGAATGTCATGCCTGAGTGGGGTGAGGCTGTCTCTGCCATGTCCCCTCCTGAGCCACAGGCCTCACTCTTCCTGCACTTGCCCTCCCAGAGGACTGCAACCACAGCCTTAAACCCTTGGGAGCTGTTCTGCAGCCCATGCTAGCTGTCAGCCTTGGTGGAGGAACTTTAATGACTCTACAGAAATCTGTCTGCTTATTCAGTAAGAGCTGGGCAGTTCACCTGCCTCGTTTCATAGTCCTGCAGTCCTCCTGAGGTGAGGACATGTAGCATGCTACACAAAACCGATGAAGTTAGATTATATAACTGTTAACAAATGGTGGTTCATCTGATGTGAAGACAAAATCAAAGCCAGGAGATGCCAGACATTTGAAATGGAGGCAGACGGGCAGCAGGATAAGTCTGAACCAGACTCCTGGCTCTGCCACCTGCCTTAGTCCCTCAGCCTCTCTGAGCCTCGACTCCTTCATCTGTCAAATGGGGCTACTCGGACCTGCCTTGGAAGATGTAGTGAGCTGCTCTGTGTCAATCCCCGTTGCTCACAGCTGGATACTGAGTGAGGGTGAATGCCAGCAGCAGCCCCCGCACCACCCATCACTGCTGTCATTACTGTTGTTCTTCCAGCGACACTGATATGAGGGCAGGAATGGGGGACAAGTAGGACTTAAAAAGCAGGAACACAGCATCCTGAGCTCTTTATTATGGTAGAAAAGTCCTGTTAAATGGCTTCATGTTTTACTCTTTTTTTTTTTTTTGTAAGGATGCCAGAAGGAGCGCAAAGTGACTTTTAAGAAATACAGAGCTGAGATTGTACTGCTGTTGGTCCTGGTGGTTTTCTACTTAACACTCATCATTTTCACTTTTGTAAGTACCTTTTTAAAACATCTGTTATTATTAAAAGATTACCTGAGGTGCAAATATGAATGTATTCTGTAGGTGGTGTGAATAATTTAATAATGGGGAGAGATATTCTCTGAGCCCTGGACTTATGGAGGCCCCCCGGACTGTGGGAATTATTACAGCAAGGTCCCAGCTTGTTTATTGGACTGTGGCTTTGCACAAAGCACTGTGAAGAGAAAATTAAGAAAGAGATTTGAAGGAAGTTTGAGAAATGACAAAGGCTCCTCCTAAAACAGCAGAGGGCCTTGCAGTTACAGAGGCAGAAAGGGCTACACTGATCACCCACCATTCTGGGCAGAGGCAGCATTCTTTCCGTAGGCAAGTGAGCAGCCCAGCCACCTTGTGATAGGTCAGTGTCCTTGACCAGACCTTGAACTGTTTTCTCTTATGGGTTCTCCCCTTTTATTTTGTCACTTCCACCTACTCCTTGAGAATTCACCCTCAAGAAACCAATGCAGTGGGGTGCACAGGGAGTGTCCTAGGGTGAAGGGTGGCTGGCCAGTGCTTGGGCATCCTTGACATGCCCTTGAGCTATTGGTAGCAGGCTCCAGCTTAAAGCTCTTTCTGCATGGCTGCTCACCTGGGTTGACCGAGGTTGTAGGGGAACGGGGCAGCGCTGGGCCTGACCCACTAGGAAGTGACCTGTCTCTTATGTCTCAATACCATCAAGAAAGGCTGGCTTCTTAGCGACCTGGACAGATCTCCCCCAAGAGCTCTGCTGGGGCTCTTTCTTGCCTCTCACTGGGTGCCTACTTGCCTCCCTGGCCATGTACTCTTTTCTCCAATTGCTGTTTTAGATATCAGTCAATCAAAAGACTCCAGTGAACACCTACTGTGTACACAGCATTAAGCTAGGCACTGGAGGGGCTATAAATAAGTGTAAGACATAGTTCCTACCATCAAGGAGCTTCCAGTTTGGTCCTGAGAGTTATTTGCACATCAGATAATTAAAATTACTAGGCAGTAAATTTAAAAAATGAGTGTCTTTAGTTTCTTGTTGGCAAATTCCTGTTTCTGTGGGCACTGATTTTTAACTAACCATAGGGGCGTGAAATGGCCCCAGCCTATAATCAGTGCAGTTCCTGGTCAGAGTTTAGAGACACCAGTGAAAGAGTTTAAGCCCATTAGAGTGAAGGAGGTAGCCAGGATAACAAGGGATTCCAGAATAAACTGTCCAGGCAGCTCTTAATGAATAGAGTTTAAATGGAGGTGACAACTGAAGCGTTTTTCCAATTATTCATTTCTAATCTTATCTCTTATTTTTCAGAAGTTTGCACGACAACAGAGCATGTTTCCAGATTTTTCTAAACCTAGCATGGAACGAGCTTTACTTCCTGTCACCTCCCCAAACAAGCATTTGGAGCTAGCGACTCTTCACAAAACAGAAGTGGTGTGAGCAGNTAATTAGAAGTAGTCTCAGATATAGAGAAAAAACTGAGGGTTACTAGATGGGAGGGAGGGTGGGGATGAGGGAGAAGGTGAGGGGATTAGAAAGCACAGTCTGTAACCACAAGATTGCCACAGGGATATGAAAGACAGTGTGGGGACTATAATCAACAACGTTGTAAAGATTTGGTAGGTTATCCGATGGACACTTGTCTTATTAGAGAGCAGGGCTTCTTGCAGGAGCCATAAATCTGCCACCAGGTGTCTCTGCAGCCCACTCCATGGGAATGCTGCCGCAAACTGAAGGCTGTGGAAGCTGGAACCGGAGCTTTCTAGTGACTTTGTGGTGTGTTCCCTAACTTAGTAAACTATGCAGAAACCAACCATTGAAGGTGTGTGTGTGTGTGTGTGTGTGTGTGTGTGTGTGTGTGTGTGTGTGTGTGTGTGTGTGTGTGTGTGTGTGTTTCTTTCCTGAGCTGCCTGTGCCTCCCTGGGTATTGCCCTGATTCCTTATTTCTTTGCACTGACTCCCTGTTGAGAAGGAGGACAGAAATTGTAGGTGCCCTCAGAGCAGCAGATAAAACATTGGCAGGTGTGGGCAAACACCGCAGCGTGCAGCCTGCTCACACTCTGTCTTTCCCTGAGGTGGCTTTTTGGTGCTGTTACAATGCTAGGTAAGGAATGCCACTGAATTCCAAGCTCCCTGCTGGTTTCCAGGCACCCAGCAAAGGGCTAGGGGCTGCCCATGGACACCAAAACAAGTGCTTTGCCTTACTGTTTGGGTAAATCAGTTTTAGAAGCTTTAAAACATTTCAGTGGAGGACCAATGAGCAACTTAATTAGGCAAATTGAAGTTGTATCTGGGGAAAAAGAGAATTGATGATGAATGTGATGTGTGCCTGATCTTTCAAGTAGGAGATGGTGAAAAGACCCCAACAATTAGTCACAAAGATAGTTCAGGGACAGAAAACCAGCCTGATTCGTTTGGCTAAATTTGGCATCTACCCCAGTCAGGCTGGTCTGTCCTGGGTACGATGACTTAAGCTGTAATGGTCCTTCCTTGTGTATCTTGTTATGACTACCTAATGATCTGACACACAAAATCTCCACATGGCCCTGCTGTCACCTGTCTTCCTACCTTAGTAAAGAGTGTAAGTGTGGTGTATCCTGCAACATCGCGGATGACCACACACGTGAGTCTTTGAAGAACAAGGTGATATTTAGGGGAGGCATTGCTCACCTACATCTCTGTGTTTTTCATTGAACTGTCTGGCAATGATCTTAACAGATTTAGGAACATTTCCAAATAAAAGGCTGGGATGCAAAAGTAAGAATCAATGAATGGGTGAGTTGGTGCCTGAAGAAGACAAAAGAACATTTAATATAGAACAACAAGCAAGAAAAGGGGATTCAGAGTGATTCACATAACTTGAGCCCAGTCTGGTGATCAAGCAACACTCTCTCCATTGCGTCGGGTAGAAGATGGGATAGGAAGAATCAGAACACGCAGTCCTGATCTCATTACAAACAATAAGATATAGCCTAAAAAAATTTTCATCGATTCTCTCCTCCTCCCCCAAAGATCACACATCCACACAAAATCTTGTTTTTAAAATAATGTAGAGGATGGATGTTATGAAAACAAAAGGCAGCACCTTGGTGTGGAGGCCCAGTGCTTGGCAGGTCTTTCAGTAGAGCACAATGCAATATGATTTCTTTTTTTTTTTCACAGCTTACGG